ATTTAAACTTAGTTGCTAATATCCTCTCACCCAAACCTTTGAGAAGCAGTCATTTTAATTTAAACTTAGTTGCTAATATCCTCTCACCCCTGTCTTTGAGAAGCAGCCCTTTTCAATTGACATTTAGTTTGCTAATATACTCTCACTTCAGTCATTGGGAAACTATCATTTTCAATTAAAACTTAGTTGCTAATATCCTCTCACCCCTGTCTTTGAGAAGCAGCCCTTTTCAATTGACATTTAGTTTGCTAATATACTCTCACTTCAGTCATTGGGAAACTATCATTTTAATTAAAACTTATCCTCTCACCTCTGTCTTTGAGAAGCAGCCCTTTTCAATTGACATTTAGTTTGCTTATATACTCCCACTTCAGTCATTGGGAAACTATCATTTTCAATTAAAACTTAGTTGCTAATATCCTCGCAGTTATTTTCAATTTACACTTAGTTTCTAATATTCTCTCACTGCAGTCTTTAGGAAGCAGTCATTCTCAATGAAGCTCCTGAGGTGTCTCAACGCTAGCAGAGAAATTAAAAAAGCGTATACTTAAATAAATATTTCAATAAAATGCTGCTGTATATATATATAATACTTATTTCGTTGTGCTAACATCATTCTAGGAATATTGCTAAATTTACTAATGATGTTTGGCCGTGAGAAAATTTCTTTCAAACCTTTCAATAAAGGTAGTCGATAAACACACATAAATACGTACACTGTTTAGTTAGGATGATAACAAATACTTGTTCTGCTCGTGCTCTTTCGTAAGTTATGGCTCTGATATTGAAGAATATATACATGGCTGGTGTCTAGAATAAAAAAAAAATCCCAACACTCGGAATCTTTCACAAATCAAAATCAATATTAGAATATTAATAGTTTTAATAAGATAGATAGATGTGTGAAGATAGTGTGTGTTTGTGTGAACAGAATCATCATATTCGCCAAGGCTTTCCTTTGATTTGTTGTCTTCGAAAAAAATAAAAGAGAACAACAAGAAAATGCTCATAAATATTGTCTCTGTTCGATAAATAATTACATAGCATGCACGTTAATAAGAACACAACAAAATACGTCAGATAGGGAGTACGTGAGCAGATTCAGAAGAAACCTTCCTGAGACATTGTATTACAGGTCAATGTCATTGCACCAAAACTTTGAAAGCTACATCTTTCAAACTTTTCGTATGGATAAATGTAATAAAAATGCTTCAATGTGAAGCTTAACTCGCCTTTCAGTTTGTTCAGAGTTTAATAGCTAACATCGAATAGTATATAACTAAAAGCAATGTAAATTACCATTATTTTATTATATAATTGTGTCGATTTATCTTAAGAATGCTTTCAGTTACACAGTGCCAAGTATCGGGCTGAGAATAAGGAAGTTCCAAGGCTCACGCCGCGATGCTTCTGAATATGCTCTGCACTTTCAGCTATGGGTGAGTTATAATAGTGACAGTCAGTCATTCCTGTTTCTGGTTTCAAAGTCAGACAATAGCCTTGCACCGGCAGGTGCTGGTGACTGGTTCCCACTTCCTGCCTTCTTGTAAGTAGTTTAAAGTTAGCAATAGCTAAATACTGTGTTTGGGTGGGAGGAGGGGGGAGCGATCTCTGATCTGGCTGTTTAGCTCGTGTGTCGCATAAGGTGTCGTTCACGTTAAAATTATATCAATACCCTGCGCAATTACAGAGCTACACATGTTTTAAACTTTCCCTTGCTGCTGTTGATTGTATTAATACTTCTAATGCTCATGCTCACTTACTGCTTGAAGTAAAAGAACTTGTTAAGAAAATTTACTTTGATACTTAAGATACTAGAGTAGATGAATCGTTGTTTTTTGGACTGATATTTGAGAAATAAGGATATAGTGTTGTAATAAGGTTACATATTTGAAATGTTATGACAATTGAGATTAATTACTTGGAAATATATTAGCCAGTAGATGAAGTAAGTTGACACTCATCAAGAAGGGTTTGTGCCAAATATCAAGCGTGAGACTGCTAATGTGTTTGTATTCTTCTGATTCTAACCTAATTACAGAAGTAACACTCTTCAAGTATAATCGACCTTAAATGTATTTATATCAACACAAAAACTTTTTTTAACAGGAAACCATCCACTGAGGCTAAAACAACAATAAAAGTTTACTACAAAAAATATTTTTTTTGTGTTTGTTTGTAGAATTTCACGCAAAAAACCACACGAGTGCTATCTGGGCTAGTCGTCCCTAATTTTGACGACTAGAGGACAGTTGGCCATTACCACCGATTATCAACGTATGAGCTACTCTTGTCAGACCGAATAGTGGGATTTGACAGTTACATTTATGACACATCCGCTGACTCAAAATGCGAACCACGGAACCTAAGATCTACAGTTTGACTCGCTAACTGCTGGGCCACACTCCGCCTTACAAGAATGAATCAAATGTAACGTAATAAAAGCCCTTTGTATAAAACTGTGTTTGTACACCAAGCAATGAATAGTAAATGATGTTTGAATGTAGGTCATACTACGTAATTCCAAAATATGTTTTCAGCTGCTTATATTCTTGTCATCAAAATTATTCTATTATACTTTACATCAATGATGACGCTGAATGCTAAGCCTGAATCCGTATGGCAATTTTTGAAACATATAGGTTTGATGAGCATGCTACAGATATATATTTTTTAGCTTTTTCGTAACTAAAAGTACGGTTCGATAAGTTAATGTTGTCTAACATGTTGTATGTCATGAATAATATCGTTTTAATGTGAAAGATGAGTATGACTGTCGAACAAACTTTGGAAGTACCAAAAAAAAAGCGTATAACTCACGCTGAGGACGAGAGTTTTTTTTCGAGTATTGAGTGAATTGTACAAGGCGCATATCGGTGATTTAAAACCCTGGCGCCCTTCCTTTACGAATACTTACAGACTAAACACCAAATGAAGAAACTGGTAAACTTGGGCGCAAACGAAAAAAAGAGCTAGAGTGATTCCAACGCTAACTTCCCATTTGCACAATGCATGCTGTATAATAAAACGTTATCCTGTTGGAAAGAAAAGTAGAGAACTAGACGTTTCTGCTCGAGGCCCACTCTCAAGAAAGAAATTATCCACGCGAAAACAGACGTGACTTTAGGAGGTTCCTTTTCTATTTAAGCTGGCGCTGCTAAACCAAACATATCCGTAAGCTAAAGCAAAAGCAAATGTTAGCGGTGCTGATACATACATTCTTCTTGGTCTGGATACTTAGTAGGATAGACAGAGAAAACAGAATGTAGAAAAGTTGGTTTCAAATATGTAAATTCACTGCTAGCTGACGTGTTAAATACCTTGAGTTGAATAAGCAGGGTATAGAAATATAAGAAGCGTGACTTTTTTTAAACAATTCAATGCAAAAAGAAAAACACCAATGCATACAGAATCATAATGTGAAAGGAATAGACAGTCTTAATTTTAATAGTTTAGAAGCATTGGGCGCTTATTATTTTATGAGCTGTTAAAAATGTACATTCAAAATTATTTTGAAGTTTTAAAATATGATTTCGTACCAGAAACAATCTTTAAAGCTATATTTGTTTTGTGAAGGAATGCTTTAGACATCTAATATATTTGTATTACTTCATACTTTCATACTCCTTTATTTGTTCACAGTTTATATCGACAAGGCTAGTGAAACAATCTAATATGTGCTAAACATTTCCCCATATAGTATCTAGAGGGCGCTTTGAGAGTAACTTCAAATCAATCAATTTAATGGTCTAGTTAATAAGCTAAATTGTAGACAAAGCGTCATTTATCATGCTCAGAGTACCAGCATGCAAAAAAAATAATAATAATGAAATAAAACGAAAAATATACGAATTAATGGGCTGCTGTATTTTTTTTATTAGTGTGGTCAGTCCTTTCAAAAATTAGTTGTATAGAATTAAAGCCTAATTTGATGTAAAATACCAAGTTAATTATGCTAAAAAAACATCTTAAAGTACCAGTAAGCTATAACTTCGAAAGTTAGTATATTTGATTAAGGTTATTCTGTAGCTGGCACTAATGAACAGCAGAATAGGAAAGTTTCTAGACCAAGATGGTTCTATATAACGCTTGGTTAATGCATTTCGTTGAAATGTTACATTTACTCTCGAGTTACTGGAATTGTATTCCTTTAAGTCGCATTTATAGGGCTGCTAAACACGGTAAAGCTATTGAACTAGCTCTTGGCTAGTTTAACATATCACCTATACATACACACACATTCACACTTGTTCTACACACTACAACGATCTTCGTAGCCAAGAAGATATGTGTAGAATGTGTTGTGTGACATTCGCTTCTAGCCCATCTTCACTGAACAATTCTTAGTACACTCTGAGCATAAGTACGTGGAATATAAGCATGCGTGCAAGACGTGAACGTTT